ACTTAATAGAGCCCAAAGCATTAAGTTTTAAGTCTCTGGAACATTCACAGTATAAAGGAATAAATAAAGTGCCACCACATCAGTAGTCTGTAGACATTTATTCCTGATGTATTCTGGGACACTCAGCAAAATTTAAGAGGATATTTATTGAGAGCTAAGAATAAAAATAATTAAGCGCAATGGGGTATGTGTGTGTAAAAAGACAAACCCATTTCTTTTCATTTTATCACATATATAAGGCAATGAATAAAATTAATATAAGGTTACAAAAGTCTCCCCCATTCCTCCAGCAATGCTTTTTGTAAAGTTCTTTGGAAACTAGGAATGACTTTTCAATAGCAAAACAATTTAACTGAGAAAAGACCACTAGAAGATCCCAAATTTGCTAATCCATTTTGACTTCTCTATATTAAGGGCTGGTGGAGATGAAACATGCCCATTTCCTACACTCTCTCAAAGCATTTTATAAAACTTATAAAGGAATATTTTGCACATTTACACTTTTAAAATCACTACACTCGTACTGTATGTAAGCTTTTATATTGAAAAGTTCTACCTTTTGATTTTTAGGACTGTCAACACATAAGCTGGCTCTTTATGAGGTAAACTCTAAAATCTAACAGGATCATAAGTAATCTGTTAGGACTTGAGAGCAGTGACCAAATATGTATTCTAAGCAGAATAACTGGGTAATTTCTAGCAGGTAAATCTAGATGATTTCTGAAATTTGATTATTTTTCTTATATGCTGAAACATCTGCATTTTATAGAAGTATTACTTTTAATCATGAAAAAGTTAATTTATGGACTATTTGCTGGAGTCCTTAAAAAAAATAATAAAGCAAATGGTCATGTGTATGAGGTTTCACTGTAGTCCGAGTTGGTGGGCAGTACTGCCCCTGGAGGGCACTGGAATGATTTGGGGTGCTGGGCTGCAAAAACAGATACCTATACTTTACCCAAGAAGCCCTGGTGGTGTACTGGTTAAACATTGGGCTCCAATCTGCATAGGCAGCAGCTCCTAATCTCCAGTGGGACTGCAGGCGTAATACAGGGCTTTCTACTCCCATAAACAGTCTCAGAAACCCACAGGGGCAGTTTCACTGTTGTCCTACAGGGCTGCTAAGAGTCGGCACTGACACCATGGCAGTGAGGGAGGGAGTGAGCAACAATTTATCCTAGGAGCCCTCTTGATGTAGTGGTTACATGGATTGCTGCTGACATCCACCTCAGTAGTTTGAAACCTTGGGAGAAACATGAGACTTTCTGTTCCCACAAAGGGTTACAGTCTTGGAAAGCCACGTTGGCAGTTATATCCTGCCCTAAAGGGCTACTATGAGTGCCCAGGTGGGCACTGAGTAATTTCCTGTCCCCCTAAAAATGGGGAAGTAGGCCAAAAAGGTTTGGGAATCTATGCTTCAAATAACAATATATTTAATACATCTCATAATGTAGCCATGATAAAGTAGTTATCTGAAAATGTATGAAAAGATATTAAAATACCACTTTAAGTAATCACCAAAAAATTGGTTTCTTTTAATTTATTCTGAAATACTGCTCAGCAGTTAAGGCTATGCATTATCACCTCATTGATCTCTCCTTTTAAGTAGACTACATAAAACCGAGAAAAATGTTCAAGCATTAAACAGCAACAACTCGGGCCTGCCTTTTTCCCTATTACTTGAAAAATGTCGTGTCATTCACAGAGAATACCCAGGAAACACGTCATACATGTGATCATGAACTGCCTTTGTATGAGGACACGTACAATTATTATGCTCCTTATAGTGACAGGAATCAAATAAATACAGACCTAGGTTTTTGGTGGTTTTTTTTTTACTGTTTCAAGTAATGACTTATTTTTTATTGCCAAATAATGACTTTAGTCATAAATGTAACAGACCATATATTCAAAGAAAAAAAAGGGCGAAATGACCTTTTGATAGAAATGGACATAATAACCAATAAACATACCAAAGTGTGCTGAACCACTGCTACTTTTACTTTGCGTAGAGGTACTGCATGTCTGGGTCCCAGGTTGTGCTGTTCCTGTTCGGTTTACACTCCTGTACAACTTTCTACAGAAGAGTTCATCATCGTCACTGTCATGTAGGGATGGTGTCCGAGGCCTAAAATGCCGCCATCTACATGATTTGATATTGACTAGGATCTGACTGAGGTCTTTAGAGAAAGATTTGTCCGAGGTATTTGTTTCTGAGGTATTGGCAAATTGATTGACTGAAGAATGCTGTGGAGAGGAAAGCATTTCCAAATCCAAATGGCGCAACACACTGTCATAGTCTGAATGAGCTCTGTCCAGTAAGACCCTATTAAAAACAAGGTAAGATACATACATTGAAAATAATCATTCAAAATTTATACTTGAAAAGTTTCCCTTTCTTCTCTCCAAAACCAACCCATAATGAATTTTCAAAAGCTGAAAAATCAACTATTTTAGTATTTTGTTTCAGAAGTTAAAATGTGGACTTCTGATAAAGCTTCTTTTTGCATGGTAATGATCTACTGAACAAAAGTAACCAGCAGCCACTGTAAAGAGCAGCTACCCTGTTCATTTTACAGCATGGAGGCTTTTTTTTAAGTTCTATAGGTCGGCTTACCAATATGTTACTGATAACAGACGAGAGCATGTGTTTTCAGTATTTATTTCAGCCAAAGATTTTTACATTTTACTACAAAGCTCCAAAAGAAATATATATTTAAAAAATGTTGCTCACATACTTGTTCTCTACTACAGTACTCTCTTTTGTTGTCAGGAGGGGAGGGAAGAGGAAGAGAAAAAAAACACAGGAAAAAAGTGTGATCTCTGACATATTCTAGTATCTATATTTCCTATAGAAAAAGTATTAATGATCAATTATGCTAGAGGATTTTTTAATTTACAGAACATATATAAATGGCACTATCACAAAATTCTAACATTAAAGCTAGCAATAGAATAAAATAGCTAATGTAAAGAATTCTAACCGCTGCTCATATCAATAATGCTAATTAATATTACTGCCCAAATAATCCTTAAGTTTTAGTGATGCAAAAATTACAGCTACAAATTATATATTGGCCTTGTATTTCACATGCCATATCTTGACCCATTTAATCCTTTTTTCAATTTGTCCCAGAACTTCTAAAACAGTATCTTACAGTTTCTATAGCTTCATAAAATTTGTGCAGTTATTGTTTACCCTTGTCTCCACTTGTCGCCTGTGTGCTCAGAATGCTACCACTTGATTAGTTATTTGGGGTCTTGTTCTTGGAGAGAAAAGCAGACCCTGAAGGGTCCATGAGTTACGCATGCATGAAAAGCTGTGGTCATAGAAGAACCAGTAACAAAGTGGCAACAATATCAGCCGACATCATCAATTAAAAACAGCAAAAGGGAACTAAATGAGCTGTTTAGAAAGAATACTTCAATTAAATTTTAGATACGATTACCCTAATTTGCTAAGGTATCCTACACTAAGTGAATATAGATATCTTACCTTCCACCGCGCCCAACCCGTCTTCGTGCAAATCCAATACACCTTTGGGGCACGGTGAGGGTAGTTAAGCAGTATCTATATCGCACATCCCCTAAGCCCCCATCTTTAGGACTTGTCCAAGGCCAGTTGCCAGTTTGGTCTAAGTGAGGCTAAAAGGAAGAGAAAACAAATCCAAATTATTTAATAATTTTGTCGGTTCAAGGTAAATAGCTGCCCACTTACAAAGAGACTGTGAAAACTTACAGCATAGTATTGACAGCCAGCTTTCCTACGGAAAGCGAAAGGACCATCAGGATCATTCTCTTCCTCAGCCTCCGAAGAGCCGGACAAAACCTGTAAATAAGATGATTGAAATGGGTCAAAGCAAGTGATTTACTATATTTCTTCTCTATATCCCAGGAAAATTCTCATTTTCTACCTGGGAGAGAGGTTCTTCATCTGAGCTGGGGAAGTCGTATTGATTTAAGTCTTTAGCATTGAAGACTGGCAGTGCAGCAGGACTCGTCTGTTGAGGAGTAGCAGCAGCAGACGAAGGTAAGACTTTGGGCTTCTTCTCATATTTACGTTTCGGTCGTATAAGATCAGCTTTCTCTTGCTGCAACAAAGTCATAAGTTAAATAAAAACAAGAACTTAGGCTCATTATTGCTGAAGATATTTTGGGAAGCCTTTAACAAGTTTATTGCTATAACTAACTGAAGGCATTCATATTCCTAAGAGACACAAAACTCTTATGTTTGGCCCTTTTACATTTTAAGGTCCTATGTGAATGCATAAATCTATTACTATAATCTAAACATAATCTCATAATCTATTTTGTGTCTATTAAAGTAAAAGAAGAAAGTAACCATTCTCCAGCTTTTAAGTCCCGTAACTAAGAACGTTTACTGATTGCTGCTCATTTTCTTAATTTTCTATGAAAATTCTAAGGTGAATTAAAAAAAAAAAGAATGTCTAGTCTTTACTATCATTTAGTATCAAATCAGTAAAGGAGAATAATGAAAATGATTTGACTTATATACAAGTCAAATTACCAACAACTTCTAACATAGCGAATAAAGCCCTAATGCACCAAGCCAAAAAATCCAAGCCACTACCATTAATTCAATTTCTACTCAGAGTGACCACATAGGGGAGAGTGGCACTGCCCCACTGGGTTTCTAAGTTGTCATCTTTATAGAAGTAGATTGTCTCAGCTTTCCCCCAGAGTGGACACAGGCTTGAGGTGCTGACCTTTCGATTCACAGCTGGGTGCACCCTGAGCACTCCTCCGCAAATGCCAAACCTCAAAATCCAAGCGAAACTCACTGCCATTAAGTGGATTGGGATTCACAGCACAACAGGACACGTTAGAAGTGCCCCTGTAGATCTGATACTGAACTCTTCAAGAGAGTAGAAAGCAAGCTTCGTCTTTCTCCCATGGAGAAAGGGGTTTCAAACTGCTGACCTTGAGGTTAGCAGCCAATTGTGTTAAGGATTTGCTAGCAGAGCAACGAAGGCTTCTGGAATGATAAACTCTGAGGTGTTTTTTTCAACCGTGTAAGGACATTAAATAAAGGAAACACCAGGGTAAAATGTACCGAGGTAAGAATAATTGAGCTGATGAAATACAGAGCATGTTTGAAAGACAAAGGAGTTTCAAAATATTCATGTAAAAATTCCATTATATTTAAATTCCATTTTCCCAGAAAGGCCAATCATGACAAAGGTTAGGAGAGAGGAGCGATTTGATGTGTGAGCAACAGGCAAACAAGACTGGAGGCAATCTGCTGGGAAGAAACAGACCATGGCAAACAACTATGTAAATCTGCTACTATTTTTTATCAAAACTTTAGTTCATGTTTGTTTTTCCCCCCTTCAAACAGTTAAATCTGTAAAACAATAACTATTAAAACTATCAGACAGTTCTGCTGCAGCAGCTTTCTAGTTAGTCTTGCATCTACTGCTGCCTGTGGTGATACCAAATGTTATTTTAAAGCCATTATCAATGGTCAGCTAGAACAGGGCGTTTCAAAATCTCAATAGAGTTTGAGACTCTAATAAACTACAATAAAAATTACCAAGGTAACTAAGCAGCCCCAATACAGGAAAGTGTTTTAACTGGGAAGGTTTTAAAGTAAAACACTGATATCTGAAACCCATGTTTCTGGAGTGGGGAGCAGAAACTATATATAGCTAACAGAAAAACCCAAGGAGCGGAGGTAGAACTGAAGCAATCTAAAAACGTCACAGAGGCTCACAGACTTCAGAGACCACACACTTCAGATCCTGCCGTTGGAAAACCCTACTAAAACTTTGAAGGCACACTTAGGATTAATTAATTATAAGTGAATGCATAACTGGATAAATAAAAGACTTAAGTGTATTTATGGATGAAATATTTATATGGGCTAAAAGAAATAAAATAAAACAAAAATGTATTTTGGCACATAAGCCTAACTTTCTGGATTGTTTAGAGTAACTATTTCTCCCTACAATTTTTTTTTTAAACCAAAGTGTTCATATTCTCACAAAATGAGGCATTTGCTTTACAATGGCAGGAATACAAGGCCAGGGAAATTATTATAAGGGGGATGGCAATTTGTACATTTGAGTTTGAAGATTTTTATCATCACCCTAACACCCATATCAGGACAATAGGAGAGAGAATTAGAATGGTGAATTCTAACGTCATGATAGAAATCCCAAAAGAAAAATAAATACTGCAGATGCACATTACCCATGAGGATACTACTAATTGGTTGCCCTCCATTAATCTCCCTCAGCTTCCTTTAACTAATATAACTTCCTTCAATAATTTTACTTGTTACAAATTGTGAAAAATTTGGTAAAGAATTTGCCAAATATTTCCATTTCTAAATAATTATCTACATAAAATGTTAACGAGGCACCTTGGTGTGTCCATAAAACATGACTCATCATATATAAGAAAAATTTTCATAAGTCCTCCCATCAGTTTCCTTATTCTGAGTGATTGATTTCAATACTTCATAATCCTACAGCTAATAAAATATTCTTTATTGGGCATAATAATTATATATTTCATTCAAAATGTAAGAAAATAACAAAACAAAACTATGATTTTAATTCCTGTTTTTTCACAATGTGCCATAATCATTGAAATTTTGTAAAAGGCTTACATGTGTTTTTCCTGCACTCTCCCTATAATTATAAATTATCATTCAATACTACTCCAATCAGGTATTATCTCCACAAAAGTTTTACTTACCTTATTAACTTTAAACTCCTTCACGTCCATTGCTTCCTGATGTTTAAATTGATTGCTATTAGTAATAGGAATGATGGGGATGGCATAAGTAGGTTTCACTGGCTGTCTCTGTGCCATAACCTCGGACATGATCTCTCCATTATAATCACCTAAATTATACCTATTATAAAAAACATTAATTATAAATTTAAAAATTTTATATTCTAATAAAATTATTTTTAAAAGCGTTACAAAGCTTTACAAATGTCCCTTATAATAACAGTAAATATAAACAATTACACTTAAGAGAATACAGTTAAATCTAGACTATTTGTTGAATACTGATTAAAATGAAAAGGAAAACACACAGTTCTGTTCCTTCCTTCTGTTTCTTGGATCACACTTTTTGCATGGCACTAGAAATAGATGAGTGAGTGAGTGAGTGAGTGTGTGTGTGTGTGTGTGTGAGAGAGAATTCTCCCCCAACTACTTCTTTACATTTTTATTTTTAAAATCCAATACTATGCTTAAGAAACAAGCAAAAATAACAAATCCATACTATAAAGTAAGCAAAATAAAAGCCTTGGAATTGACAAATGTCCTTGCTCTTTTCTCTGTATTCAAGTTTTAAAATAAAAATACTTGGTATATTTTAAGTTTACCAAGCATAGTCACTTTAAAAGAAAATGGAAATACCCCAGTAAAATTATACAAAGAATAACATTGTGTCACACATTTAAGTGTCTTGAATTCTTATTAAAAGAATGTATTTCTTAAACTGATTGTGAAGATGACTGCATAACTCTTTCAATATAATTGGTCTACTGAATTGTATGTGAATTACATGTCAATAAAACTGTTCTCAATATAAAATGTAATATATAATATTTTCAAACATTAAGGCAAACAAAAAGAATAGATTTCTGACATGATAGTGGGATAGGAGGAAAGCAAAAGGAAACAGAGCAAAGAACTGGGAGGCAAAGGACATTTATAGAGGTCTAAATACAGGCATGTATATAAGTAAATACATTTATATATAAAGATAGGGGAATAGATCTATGTACATATATTTATTTATAAAGTATTACGACAGGAGATGGACATTGGGCCTCCACGCAAGTACTTATTCCCTCAATGCAAGAACAATTTGTTCTACTAACATGGCACTCTGATGTTCACCTTCAATGACACGATTGCTGAAGATAAAATGGGTACATAAGCAAATGTGAAGAAAGCTGATGGTGCCGGCTATCAAAGGATATAGTGTCTGGGGTCTTAAAGGCTTGAAGATAAACTAGCAGACATCTAGCTGAGAAGCAACAAAGCACACATGGAAGAAGCACACCAGCCTGTGTGACCATGAAGTGTCAATGGGATCAGGTATCAGGCATCAAAGACCCAATTACAAAATAAACAAAGAAACAAAAAAATCTTATCAATGGGAATGAAGGGGAAGGCAGAGTAGAGACCCAACGCCCATCAGTAGTCAGCTGGACACCCCCTGTCAGAAGGGCCACAAGGAAGAGATGAGCCAGTTGGGGTGCAGTATAGCACTGATGAGACACACAATCTTCCTCAAGTTCTTTAATGCTTCCTATCCCCCCACCCCATCCCACGACTATCATGACCCCAATTCTATCTTACAAATCTGGCTAGACCAGAACATGTATACTGGTACAGATAAGAGCTTGCAACGGAGGAAATCCAGAACAGATAAATCCCCCACGGTCAATATGGGGAGCAGCAATACTAGGAGGGTAAGGGAAGGGCGGGGAAGAGAGAAAGGGGCAACCGATCCCTCCCAGTGGGACAGACAGCAGAAAAGTAGGTGAAAGGAGAGAACTGTCAGTGTAAGACATTGGGGTGGGGTGTGGGGTGGGGAGAGAATAATGTATAAATTATCAAGGGAACATGGAGAAGGGAGGAAAAATAAAAAATGAAGAGCTGATACCAAGGACTCAAGTAGAAAGAAAATGTTTTTGAAAAAGATGACAACATATGTACAGATGTGTTTGACACAATGGATATATGTATGGATTATAAGAGCTTTAAGATCCCCCAATAAAATTAAAAAAATCAACTTCTGTAGTTACACACAATTGCTTAGAAAAGAAATTAACTAAATATACCATATGATACCATATTTCCTAACACCATACCTAGCCACTTCTAATACCATATTTCTTAATACTATTACAATATATTTTACCTCTTCTCCATAATTTCCAGTGTTAAGTGCAATAGCTCCCTTTTACTCTTTTCTCTTCTTTTTATCATTTCTAAAATTGTAACAGCCCGACTTAGATCTCGACGCAACTTGAGCATTTTTTCGTAAGAGGCTTCATCATTTTTGCGATTCTGTAAATATGAAGTAGCTTGTTTAGTGTCAAAAGCGTTTTTAACTAGTGGTATTTTGACCAGTTTTTGAACTATTTTAAAATCATTGTATAGGAAGTTGTATTAAATTCCTATTAGTCTTTAGATATCAAAATATTAATTATACACAATTTCTCCTACATTAAAGAGAACGATATAATTCACTTACTTTTCGAGTCTGCATTTTTTCAGTTCGTCTTCTAAAAGCCACATAAGGATCATTTGTGCTGGAACCATCTCGCTTCTCTTGTTTTACTGATGGGATAAGAGATGGTCCTCGACAGTTTTTTCTCTTTTTAATCCAGTATTCATAAACCTCTCTAATTAATTCATCATCTTCTTTAAGCAGTAGTTTGGCTTCCTGCAGACTGACTGGCTAAATGTAAAATCATTATGTCATTTTCATATAACACATACATTAACTTTCAAAAGTACTTATTTCTAAAATTTACTTGACAATTAAAACACAGTACAAACAATGGCAAACATGGGAAGTATCAGTCACTGAGATAAGTTCTTCATATATTACCTATTTCATCCTTACAACAATCTTCTGGGTGCTTACCATCTCGAGTTTACAGATGGGGAAATCGAGGGATATCAGTTTTAGTATGTTGCTCTGGATTTTACAAGTTAGTAGTTAATAGAGATGGGATTTGAATTCGTGCTGTCAATTCCAGATCCTGTTTGTTTTAACCCTCCCCTAACATACCCTTTCCATAGTTATATAGATATATGGATACATGTTTTATACATCTATAATGAAGTTGTACCTGTTGACCACTGCCTTTTTCTAGACGGTCAATCATCTCTTCAAATTGCAAAGGGCAGATGTCCATTTTCTTTTTCAGTTTATTTACAAATACTTCATCTTCAGAATCCAAGTCATAATCAGGCTGTTCGGCATCCAAACTAAAAGCTGACAGAAGGAACCATAAGCAGTCACTTGCTATGTGAATTCACTGACAAAAACCAGATGTCTAGATAAAAAGACCTAGATTTTCTAAAGAAATGAGCTATTTTAGATTGTGATAATTCAGAATCACAAATAATCAAAACTTACAGATAAGTTTTACACATTTAAAGTTTAAGAAAGGAGGTTATCTTTCACTGTATTTATACAGATATAAGTGAAAAAAGATAACAAATAACTATACCCATTGCGGCCCAATTCCCTAACCATATAACCTAGATGACCATTATAAAGACTTTTAAAAGATTATTAAATATATTAGGCTGAGCCACTTGAAGTTCAAAGACAATCAAATACCAGGAATTCCATATGGTTGGATAGCATATGAAGGCCTTTAAAGAAGACTATGTCTAGAATAGTTCCATTATACAGATTATTTTACTAAACTGAAAGGTTAGGGAGTGATGTTTAATGCTGACATATTGGAAGCCACTGCCAGTAACGGTAATAACGAGCACTCTTTAAGTATATTTCAGCATATTTATTTGGTAAATATATAATGGTATGTTGTTTAAAAAAGGCATTTTCAGTTAATCAGTCACTGGTCTTGCAAAATTGTATCTTGACCAGTAGCATTCTTTCTTTTACCATGACATTTTTTTCCAATTACTAATTCTTCTTTTTTCACCATGAATAATTATTAGTGTATCTTGAATGCTTGTTTTACACATTTAAAGTTTAAGGAGATTGTCTTTCACTGTACTTAAACAGATAAGTGATAAAAGATAAGATTTATTCCCTTGAAGCACTAACAGAAATGTGAGGCATTTCTTAAGTTTGTCACAAACAGGGAAAGAAGGAAAGAATCACTGTTCTATGCTACATTACCAAAGATCATTCAATTACTTATCAATATCACGCTATTTGACATTAATATGACAAGATACTGTGATCTGTCTCTGCATTTCTCTTGCATACTGTCCTCTACTAAGTTCCCATGACCTAAAGTCCTATTCATGTAAGAGGGGAATAACGCCCTTTGGAACTAGCCAATCTAGTCTCAGCGGTAACATATGATCCAGCAACATTTAGTTTCATATTGTTCATGCAGTATACTATTTCATGACTTTAGACCTGTACAATAGCTGTTTTATACATGCTCACGTATGAAATGGCTGTTTAATCCATTCCAAATCCAACCTGGTCCTAACTCTTTTAGGAGTTTTAGACGGTTCTCAACCCAGTAAGTGGTCCCTAATTACTTTGACTACTTTTATATGTTATGATCACTCGCCACCATTTGTTCGTCTTACGGCAGTGGCTTGTGTGTTGTGGTGATACTGAAAGTTAAACCACCAGTATTTCAAATACAAGTAAGATCACTCATAGTGGAGAAGTTTCAGCAGAGATTCTAGACAAAGACATGGTGATCGACTTCTGAAAAAGAAAACGAGTCAGTCAACACTTTATGAATAGCAATGGATCATAGTGCCGAGGATGAGCTTCTCATGCTGGAGGGCACTCAAAATACAACTGAGGAAGAACTGCCTCCTCAAAACAGAGGTGACCTTAATGACACGGATAGAGTAGAGTGCTTTCAGGACCTTCGTTTGCTGATGCAGCGGGGCTCAAAAGGAAACAAACAGCCATAAACATCCAGTGGTAATCAGAATGTGGAATATTCAAATTATGAATCTAGGATACTATAAGTCATCAACCATGAAATGTGATACGTGAATATTAATACTAAGCAGTTAGTGCATTTAATGGACCGGCATTTTGAATACAGTCTATGATGCCAGGAGTGACAAGCTTTAAGAGGAATGGTGTCCCAGTCATTGCAAAAAAGATCATTTCAAGATGTAGACTGAAGTAACCCATCATTTACAAGATAATATCTATATACCTACATAGGAGACATGTTAATATGACTACTATTCAAATTTCCACATCAACCTCTAATGCCAAAGATGAAGAAACTGAAGACTTTAATCAACTTCTGCAATCTTAACTTGATCAAATATGCGATCAAGGTACACTAATAATTACTAATGGTTAAAAAACAAGAGGGCCAGCAGTTGGAAAAAAACAGCCATGGTAAAAGAAACAATGCCACAGGTCAAGATACAGTTCTGCAAGACCAGTAACTGCTTAACTGAAAATACCCTTTTTAAACAACATAAACAGCAACTATAAACATGGACCTTACTAGATGGATTTCACACGATCAAATCATCTGTAGAAAGAGACAATGCAGAAGCTCAATAGGATCAGTCAGAAAAAGACCAGGGGGTCAACTGCAAAACAGAACATTAAGTGCTAATCTTGAAGTTCAAATTGAAGTGGGAGTAAATGAAAACAAATAAACCAAAGTATAACTTGGATTTATAGACCATTTCAAGAATAAATCTGACACAATGAACACTAATGCCCAAAGACCAGATGTGCTGTGGAATGGCATCAAGAACATGAAAAGTTGAAAATGTCATTACAGAGAAAAGACCAAATGGGTGTCAGAAAACCTTTGAAACTTGCTCTTGAATGAAGTTCACACGAAGAGAAGAGAGGGTGGCATGAAAGAACAAAAGGGTTCATTTCAGTGGGAATCTCAAGACCTGGAGCTAGAAAACCAAAAGGAAGGAACACAGTTGGCATCCCTCAATCTGAAGGAGCCAAAGAAAAAATTCAAGTCTGGAATACTAACATTGATGCACAAGACCTTTTAAAAGTATTGAAGAGCAAGGGCATTGTTTTGAGGACTAAGGTAGGCCTGGCCCAAGCCATGGCATCATCAAAAGGCTTCATATACATGTATTAAGTTGGACATGATAAAGGAAGACTGAAGCACCGATGCATTTTGAATTACGGTGTTGGTGAAGAATATTCAGAGTAGCCTGAACTGCCAGAATAACAAACAAATCTGTTTTGGAAGTACAGCCAGAATACTCCTTAGAGGCAATGATGAAATTCATTTCACACACATCTGCCGTCATCTGGTAGAGCAGAGCCAGTGAAAATGAGGTAGACCCTCAACGAGATGGACTGACACACTGGCTCCAACAATGGGCTCAATAGCAACTGTGAGGATGGTGCTCAGAGCTTCATTTTATTGTACATGAGTCAGAACTTACTCAATGCAAGCAACAGGAACAATGGCATGGGCAAAATACTGAATGATGCAGGAAGCATTACAAGAAGATAGAAGAAATACAAAGAGCTACTATACCAAAAGAAATGGTTGATGTTCAATCATTTCAACAGGTAGCAGTTCAAGAAATGATGGTCTTGAGAAAGATGTCTAAGCTGTACTGAAGGCACTGGTGAATAGCAAGGCTCCCCAAACTGACAGAATTGAAATGTTTGAACAAACTGATGCAGCACTGGAGGCACTCACTTGTCTATCCCGCAAAATTTGAAAGACAGTTACCTAGTTAACCAATTGAAAAGCTCCAGATTGGTTCCCATTCCAAAGACAGGCGGCCCAACAGAATGCAGATGTTATCGAGCAATATTATCAATATCACATGCAAGTAAAGTTCTGATGATCATTCAAAAAAAAGTTACATCAGCACATTGACAAGGAGGTGCCAGAAATCCAAGCACGATTCAAAAGAGTAGAATAAAGAATATCATTGCATTGATTATGTGTCCTATTGTTATATCCACAAAAGGCTTCAGAGACCCCAGATAGATAAAAATTCTTGCTGTATTAAAATTTTGGGTTTTCTTTTTATCCCTCCCTAAAATAATAGATACATGATGTTCAGATATACAGGCGCCCTGGAGGCATAGTGGCTATGTGATGGGCTGCACCCACAACGCAGCAAATAGAAACCCCTAGCCGCTCTGTGGGAGAACGATGAAGCTTTCTATTCCCGTAGACTGTCTTGGAAACCCAAAACCCACAAGGTAGTGCTACTCTGCCTTGTTGTTATTGTTAGGTACCACTGAATCAGTTCTGACCCACCAGTGCCCTTGTGCACAACAAAATGACACACTACCCAGCCCTGCACCATCCTCACAATTGTTCTTATGTTTTAGTTTATTGTAGCAGCCACTGTGCCAGTCCATGAGTTAGTTTATTGTGCCAACGTGGCCGATAAACACGTGGGGTTAATTGAAGGGCGGAAGGATAAATGGCTCAGTGAGCCTCGCCTTTCAAGTCCTTGGGTCTCTTGCTTTCTGATGGTCGGACCAGGGTGCAGCTGCCTTACCAGTTCCCTGCTTCAGCTTGCAAGGCTGACTTCCTGCAAGCCATCCCCAAGGAGAAGCCGCATAGACCTATCCCGATGCAGTCCTGGGTGCTGGAGCAGCCGTGTGGAGACCCCTGCCAGTGCTGAGATGTTTACACATTCACTGACTGGGCTTTCCTCCTGCAGTCGGCATCATTGCGTCTCTTTTGTGAGATGCAGGAGGACTATGTGGATTGGTGTTGGACATATGGGTTAATGTTGGACTTGTGGGCTCAGGCAGCACTGGGTTGGGATGTCTTTTGATGCACACTTTATCTATATATAAAACTCTCTCTTTTTTAATCGTTTTATTGGGGGCTCTTACAATTCTTATCACAATCCATACATACATCCATTGTGTCAAGCACATATGTACACTTGTTGCCATCATCATTCTCAAAACATTTGCCTTCTACTTGAGCCCTTAATAATCGGCTGCTCATTTCCCCCCTCCCTCATGAACCCTTCATAATTCATAAATTATTATTTTGTTATATGTTACACTGTCCAACGTCTCCCCCCGCCCTCTTCTCTGCTGTCCATCCCCCAGGGAGGAGTCTACACGGAGATGAGTTTCTGTGGATTTGTTTCTCTGAAGTCCCCAGACTAACACAGTGCATCTCCTTGAGGTCCTCCCTCTTTTTCCCTGTCCCTCCACTTTACCAAGTATGACTTCTTTCTCTGCACGGATTGAGTGGTCTCTCCTGACAACATGTCCTAAGTATGCTAAGTCGAAGTCTTGCCATCCTTGCCTCTAAGGAGCAGTCTGGCTGA